CAAAGATCTCCTTTGTTTCTTGGTACATTAGTTCATTTTGATATATTCGGCATAGATCTATGGTCAACTATTGCAACGATAATTAAATAAGTGCAGAAAAAAAATACGTAAATAAAAATGAAAATCCGTCGTGTCTCTCAATGGTAGAGCTCTCTTCCGGCGAAGTCAATACAGACAAGCATATGCCGGTTCTTCAAAGCAATTGTATATGATTGAAGATTGCGCATAGCATTGACTAATTTGGTATTTGATGTATATCATTGTATCAAGTTACTTGCAGGTGTTCGGATGATACAAAAAATGTATTCATCTCTTCAAAAATTGTATACAACATTGAAAGATTAATGAAATTTCAGATGTTCAAAAAAAAAAAGGTAAAAATGAAAATCAATGGCAATGTATTTTTGTAGTAAAATGTTCAAATCCGATTTCACAAACATCTATAGTCCATGGTGTATAATACCCATATTTGTAACTTGATAATGTATAAATTTTTATAGCATAAAGCAGGTCATGAAACAATTTTTAATTTTTTCCCCCAGAGACAAAGTTGATTACAATTCCCTTAAGTCATTGAGCAAGACGGTCTCTTCTTTTGGTGTGCGAAGGGTATACATAACCTTGATAATGAGATTCCAAGAACAGCTTAAAAAGAGATATTTAACAGTCCAAATATCTCATATTTTTGTTCCAAAGGGTCCGACGACTTGAAAGGACGACACAACCACGTGTTCTTTTTTTTTTTTGTACTTAAGAAGCCTCTCTACTTCTTTGCATTCACATCCAAATCCATCTCTTGTAGGTTAAGCAACAGATCGTCAGAGCTCAAGTACACCTTGTTTGCCGAGTTTGCTATGGTCTGCGCAATCTCTCTTGCGGCCTCGATCTTCCTTAGCGTAATGAAAGCTTGGTTGTTTGCGATGGCTTGACCTATGAGCTGAGCACTCTTGGCTTCTCCCTACACAAGGCATGAGAATACTTTTGTCATGCAACAATACCGGCCTCAGAATTCAAGATACTGGAAATGTAGAGAATATCTCTTTACCTGAGCACGGATAACTGCACTTCTCTTGTCCTGCTCGGCCTTCTCCACGATGAACTTAGCCCGTTCAGCGTCTTGAGCAGCCACTTGCTTTGCTTCAATGGCAGCCGTGTACTCCCTCCCGAATGTCAGGTTTGTGATGGACACATCGTCAAGCGCAATGTTGAAGTTTTCTGCTCGTGCAGTCAGAATCTTCCTGATCTCCCTACTGACCGCCTAAGAATATCCAGAAAAAAATCATCGACAACCGCACTTACTAAGAAAAAGGGGAAAAAAAATGATGAACATGTATTTACACAGCCAATTATATACATACCTCTCGCTGAGTAATAAGCTGGCTTGCATTGTATTGAGCAACCACAGCTTTCAAAGTTTCGTGGATTATCGAAGGCAAAACTCTCTCGCTGTAGTTCTCACCAAGGGTTCTGTAGACTTGAGGTAACTGGTCGGCCATGGGACGCGTGAGAACCCTAAGCCCAATCTTCACCTGAGAATTTCAAAACCCAAAAGAAAAAACCATGAAGCTTATGACGTTGTTTGCTGACATTAGAAGTCTTAGACCACCACACTGGCATATAAACCCCGATTTTGATGGTTGAAGCGAAAGACTTCACACTAGTTTAGTAAATGATGCAGAGAAGAATAGTGAAGCGAAAGACTTCACATTCCCCAAAATCGACAACAAAAGTGAAACAAAATGAGAGGAGTTGAAGCAGAGTACCATCTGGAGATCACGGCTTCCTGATGTACTCTCAACAAGGTAGGGTCGTGCGCGAACGTCATAAATGACCGGCCTCTCCAACCATGGAATCATGAGGTGCGTACCCTCCGGGTAAACCTGTGTAATAACAAGATTACCAACTACATGCTCGTGAACTAAGAAGACTATTATTAAGCTAAAATGAGAAGAGCAGAAGAAGAAGAGTTAATAACCGATAACCAAACATGGACAACAAAATCAGTCGCAAAGGACAATCAGTCTTTAACTAACAACTCAACCTGGATCATTTCATCAAGATGTTCACAAACCGCATGAGAACTCGTTGGGAACATTCAGAAGGAAACAGAAAGTATACTCACTACAAACTCAAAAAGACCCAATTTGAAGATGCACACTGACTAACCTTGTCTTTAATACCGACTAAACGGTTAAACATGATGGCTCGATGTCCTCCATCGACATTGTAGAGACTGTGTGTAGCACCGTAGATACCAAGCGCACCAATAATCCCAACCTTAAGCAACGCAGGTATGGCACCACCACCTGGTACCTTGGGAACTTTGACGTTGTTGAAATTCATCTTTTCTTTTCTCGAACACTCCAAATATGAAAAATAAACAAAAATCAAAATCCAGGTGTGCGCTTGAAGAACAGCATACATAAACAAGCATTGAAAATACAGACTCAGATCTACCCATTTATACAACTTGAAGACCTCCAAAAGTCACATTCAGAGCATGAAAACCATAAAAGATAGAAACTTTAAGGAAGACCCATGTTAAGCTTCCCAGAAAACTTCTAATTAAACCGTAAACTCGCATCTTTGGCACGATAACAACAATTGAATTGGCAAATTTGAGCAAAAAACTCTCACCAACCTGGAAATTTACTTGTTCACTGGAATTTCGATAGGAATTGATCGATACCGACTCACTACACAAAAGACATACGGAAAATGGAGAGAAATGTACCTGAAAACTTTGCTAATGTCGCGGAGAGAAACAATGGGAAGATCGTGAGGAAGGGGTTTAGGGTTTAAGCTCTTGTTTCGACTGGAGAATAGAACGGTCTCGCACCTTCGATCGAAAAAAAAAAGAACTTTGGGCCCACGTTATTGTTAAGCCCATTGGTCCAAGTATTAAAGCCCAATACTAAACTCGGGAAAATCTAATACTATTGAGAGATCCGCTAAACTTTTGTTAGGAAAATATTTTTGTGTTCAAAACTCCCAAAGTTGTTAACTTTGAAGAATACTTCGAAAAATGAAAATCCAAAATATCATGAACATTTAAAAGAAATTTTAACACAAAAACAAGAAGTAATATTCGAATCATGAACATTGAGATTGCAAAAAAAAGTCCAATCACCCCAATCGTCGACCTTCCATAAGGTAACTATCATTGAAACTGGAGAAATTTTAAAAAATGCCACTTTTCAAATGCCACTTTACAAAAATGCCACACTTTTGTAGTCTTTACAATAATGCCACTTTTTCAAAATTATTTTTTCTTTATATTATTTATGTTTGGGTTAATTATGTTCTATTAGGGTTTAGTTATGAGGGTTTAGAGGGTTTTAGGGGTCAAAACATTTTTTAGAGTTTAGAATTTTAAGATATAGGCTTTATAAATCTATAATTAGTGGCATTTTTGCAAATGAACACCCCTAAGTGGCATTCTTGCAAATGTACACACAAAAACTGGCATTTTTGTATTTGCCCCT